AGCAACTCCATTTTGTTGTGGAGTAATAGGTGCAGAAAATTCATGCTTAATTCCATGCATATCACAAAAATTTGAAAGCGAACTATTTTCAAACTCAAGACCATGATCAATTCGGATTCTTATGAAACACCCAATGGAAACACCCTGTTCACTTTGGATTTTAAGGACTAGAACCTGGAAAGCATCAAACGTATCAGATTTTTCCCTTAAAAAATTTACCCACGAAAATCAAGTAAAATCATCAACAGTTAAAAAAATGTATCTTTTACCTCCGATGCTTTCAGTGCGAGTAGGACCCATTAAATCCATGTGAACCAATTCAAGAGGACGTTTGGCTGTAAAGTTGTTCACCTTTTTATGAGGGGCACGAGTTTGCTTTCCAAGTTGACATGGTCCACACATATGGCTCAAATTCTTACCCAGTTTAGGTACTCCTCTCACAAGTTCTTTGTTGGCTATCTTAGTTAGGTCTTTGAAATTCATGTGACCTAATCTTTGATGCCACAAATCAATGTTACTTATGATGGCTGAGTGACAAGTGAGATCATTAGTAGTAACAATCCCATAGCAGTTATCAGATGTGCAAACCCCATGCAAGACAGTATTTCCCTTTTTATCCAGAATTTCATATTTATTTTTTGAAAACAATACTTCATGATGGGAATCACACATTTGACTAATGCTCAAAAGATTTGCTTTAAGACCATCAACAAGTAAAGCATTTTCAAGCTTGGGAAGACCAGCTACACTTATAGAGCCCTTACCAATGACTCTAGAAGTGCCACCATCTCCAAAGGTAGCAATTCCACCTTCATATTTTTCAAGAGAGGTGAAGTAGGATTTCTTACCGGACATGTGACGAGAGCACCCACTATCAAGATACCACATGTGTGAGTCACATGCTTTCAGAGCAGTGTGAACAACTAAACAGGTCAAATCATCTTTTCTCACCCAAATCTTTTTGGTCTTAACAAAATCAGGTCTTATGGTCTTGGTAAATGTCTTGGCGTTGTGAATACCCTCATGAATCTTGGTATTCCGCCTAGACATGTAAGGTTGTCTCCTAGCCCAAAAAGTATTTGAATTTCTACCCTTTTGAGACACCTTACCAAACAATTCAAAGCAATAAGGACGAATGTGGCCATACCTACCACAATGATGACAAATAAAAACAGGTTTTACCTCCATTTTGTTGATCTTACCCCCTTTAAGTGGATGAAGAGAAGGATCACCCTGGTCTACCTTCAACTTTCCCTTTGCTTGAGTCTTCAGGTCATGTGATGTAGAGGCCTGTCCCTTGTGAGCTGCTGCACCATAGCCTAGCCCACTTTTGTCACAACCTATTTGTTGAGACCCGGGGATGTCTTCTAATGATTTGGAACCTTTGTTCCACATGGCAATTTTGGCTCTAGCAATTGGAAGTTCTTCATGTTTCTGACAAACTAACTCTTCCAATGTAGCTTATGACATCTCAAGACTTTCAAGCTTCTCTTCGTATGTGGAATACACTTTCAGGAGTTCATTCCTTTCAGTTTCACAAGATAGGAGTTTCCCACATAGGTCTTGCCTGTCACTAGAGATCTTGATGACATTCTGCTTTGCTGTTGCAAGTTCTCATTTTAGCTTGACATTCTCACTTTCACATGCTTTGAGCTTAAGATAGAGTTTGTCATTGATTTTGGACAAATTCAGAGATTCCTCGTAAAGCTTTTCGTAAGCTTGTTGTAGTTCATCACCATTAATCTCGTCATTGTCTTCTGATGTTTCATCATCTTCTTTTTGTTCCTCATTCTCCTTGACCTCATCCAGTCTAGCAACTAAGGCAGGAAAGGTGATAGATGGCGATGAAGATGAATCTCCTCTTTCATGAAATTGGCTCAGAATTTCCCAGGCATCTTTAGCCTTTGTGCAGTGAGCAACCCGTTGTTGTTCTTCATCAGAAATTGCTCCACGAATAGTAGTCAGAACTCTCTGATTGCTTGGATTGTCAACACTTTCAACATCGTCTTCAATGGTTTGCCAGCCTTCTGGATCAAAAGCTCTCAGAAACGCCCTCATTCTAATCTTCCAATACAAGTAATTACTCCCATCAAAGGTGGGAGCATGATGCAGGTTCTGACCACGAGCTAATTCCGCTGGCTTTGGAAGAGGTTGAGTGAAAGTAGACCAAAATTCCATGAAAGCACTATCCCCGTCTTCACCGGATTCAGGTTCTTCGGGTTCTTGTTCCGACCCGCTTTCATCATCCCAAGTCACTGTGTAAACTTTCTTTCGATTCTTTTTCGAAGGACATTCAAGGGCAATATAGCCAAACCCTTGACATTCATAGCACTTGACCCCTTGCCCCTTTACAATCTTCTTTTCAGTTTTTGGAGCAAGTTTTGGTGGAAAAGTTTTGGATTTTTCATTACTCTTGTCTTTTGAAATAGGGTCTCCGAAATTAGGCTTCTTTTTCTTCAAAATTTTTTTAAACTGTTTAGTAAACATAGCTGTCATCTCAGACTCTAAATCAAACTCAGTCTCCGGAGTTTTGCAGTCTCATGAGCACTAGTGAAAGCCATACTATCTTTTTGTTTTTTCTTTGAAATCTGATGGGCTTCATAAATCTGCAAGTTTCCAACCAACTGATCAAGCTTGAGGGTATCAACATTCTGAGCCTCCTCAATAGCTACCACTTTTGATTGGAACCTCTCGGGTAAAGACCTCAAAATTTTTCCAACAACTTTAGCTTCAGGGATTTTTTCACCCGGTGTGAAACAGGAATTCATGATGTCACTAAGTTTTGCATAGAAATCATCAAACGTCTCACCATCGCGCATAAAAAGAGTTTAAAAGGCGGAGGTGAGACTTTGAAGTTTTGACCTTTTGACAGAAGTAGTACCTTCGTGAATCGTTTCAAGAATGTCCCAAGCCTCTTTTGCTACCTCACACCTGCAAATATGACGAAATTCTTCAGGTGTGACGAAGCAAAAAAGGGAATTGAGAGCCTTACTATTCCAACTCGAGTTTTGGTAATCGGTTGTGTCCCATTTATCAAGGGGTTTAGGAATATCAATACCATCAACGGTGACAATAGGTTCACTCCACCCATAGATCACGCAGTGCCAAACTTTCTCATCGATGGATTTTAAAAACTCTCCCACGTGAGCTTTCCAATAAGAATAGTTTGTACCGTCGAGTAAAGGAGGTCTATGGGTCGAGTAACCTTCACGAATTGAATCCATATCACTAGTCACAAAAAATCACACTCCTAAAGTTTTGATAAAAACAAAGAGTGACCTGCTCTGATACCAATTGAAAATTCTAAGTGATTCGTAATTAGATCAAGATTAAAATATTTCAATTCCCAATTATTCAGAACACACAATCTAAATCATCAAGCACTTACGAAAGTGATTTAGACTGTTGTTTTCGGAATAAACAATAAATCGACACAAACGATTTTTATGTGAAAAAACCACAATTGAAGAACCTTCAATTGTAATAAAAAACCACGGGCAAAACGCCACTAATCAATCCACTACTGAAGAAAGAAAGATTACAAAGATAACACACAAATTACCCAACTCAGTCAATTTGTCTTCAAACCTTCTGTAACTCTTTCACCAAGCCTTCGTCTCGGAACTGATTAATCTGAAGTTTGAATCCATAACTTCACTTGTCGAATCAACGACTACGTACAGAATCAAACTCCTTTGAAACTCCACGTTTGAATCTTCAGAATCCACCGAAGAATAATACTCTTGTATGTATTCAATCAATCTCCTTAATATGTGCTTGTCAATTCATGAGTTTAGTACTCACTCAATTTAACAAGGAAAACTCACAAAAATAATCCAAAAGAAAACCTTAGAAAACCTCAAAGTAGATCTAAAAAACCTAATCTTAGTTTGGAGTGAAACAAATACTTATAGAAATCCTGGACTGTGAAGCTCGCTCGAGCGAAGCTTCTCTCGCTCGAGCGAGAACCTTATCTCGCGTGATTTCTATGAGTGGCTTCGCTCGAGCCACGCAACCTGCACTCGAGCGTACAATCAACTCTTTCTGGTTTTTATGCAGAGGCACTTCTTCGCTCGAGCGCACATTCATCCCTTTCAGGTTTTTGCCAGACGCAGTCTTGGCTCGAGTGAGGACTCTTTCGCTCGAGCGAGCAAGACAAAACAGCATAGAAATTTAAAACTCAATCACATAAGTTTGTTCACGGGATTGACAAGACTCAGGGACCTAACAAGAAGGATCGCTCAAGCCAAGACCGCTCGAGTGTAACAAACACCGCTCGAGCAACGAACACTACCCTCCCAGTATTTTTGCAGACTAATACGGGAAGTTCTCAAAGGCAGCTCAAGCGAACAATGCATTGCTCGAGAGAACAGACCAAAATCGGGGCAACAGTTCTATTGAAAAAAAAACAACTTCCAACCAACGCCAAACGCAATAACGACATCCAAACAACCAAACTCAACAAGAAATAGAATGAATGAAGATATGACATATCCAAAATTTTAAAAAAAATTTAATGAACTCCAAATCAAGATTAGGCAAATTACAATTTTGGACAAAATTTTAGCCAAATAAAATCATATTAAGATTCATATTCAAAAAAAAAATATAGTGTTAAATTTAGAATTCATACGTATTTTTGTTTGCGTAATATTGTAATTTCCATCGTACGCCCCTAGCAAGTTCACCATCAAATTATTTTACTTTTATTTGGATTTGGATCGAAAGAGAATATTCAAATAAGTTTCAAATTTAATATTGTAATTGAAAAGGAATTTTAATTTTTTTTTTCTTATGGACAGGGTTAATAAAATAAATTAGGAAAATCAAACCTGGTGGTTGAACAAGGGTTGTGCTTCAAATCTTGTGGGCCAGTGGTAGAAACTTTTAAGGCTCACCAACTAGGAAAGATTAAGAATTGTTAATTGAGAGAACACGATGATATCATTACTGGTGGTTCCTGTTTCTTTTTCTTTCACCGTGACTATTGCTTCCATCTTTCAACAATTGTCTACCATGAATCTTTTCAGATTTCGCAGACGTGGGAGCATATTGAGCCAAACCACATGAACCAATTTCTCACAATTAGAAACCTCCAAACCTTTCAGTCGGCAGGACTTTGATTCGTTTTCTGAGGCTATGAGTAATCGCTTCTCCCATATCTCTATTATGTTAGGCAATTTCGAAATTACCAAATTCTCCAAGACGGGGAAAGCAACCTGTAAAGTAATTTACAACACTTGTAGTTAGTGACTGTTACAAAATTGTGGATAAGCAACAATTGATAATTGTAACAGTTTCCAAATGCGTGCTCTGATCATGCATGAGTGGAAATGAAAAGCAATAGACAAGCAAATTTATAATTGCATATCTCCATATTCTTTTCAAATATTTATTATATTGCTTAATTATTAACTATGCACCTTTTTGTTATGACCTCTTCACATTGTTTTCCATCATTCATCATTATTTTTCTATTTGCCTTAAATAATTTGTGTTCCTTAATCTTATTTGTTATTTTTTTGATAAGGCAAATTATACTGTAGATCCGAGTATTAGACCTACGAAAAAGAAGAAAATTTTATTTTAAAAATTCACCATGGTGCCTTGATAATTTTTTATATTGATAGTTTCTTATTTAATTTAATATTCATTTTCTTGGCATATCTATTTAAGTTAAGATGGTAAAACAAATCAAATTATTTGAACTCGAAATATGATATCCAGTATGATATCCAATATTTAAATATTTTTTTAAGGAACCCCAAACCAAGATTAGGCAAATTACAATTTTGGACATAATTTTAGCCAAATAAAATCATATTAAGATTCATATTCAAAATAAAAATATAGTGTTAAATTTAGAATTCATACATATTTTTGTTTGGGTAATATTGTAATTTCCATCGTAGGCCCCTAGCATGTCCACCTTCAAATTATTTTACTTTTATTTGGATTTGGATAGAAAGAGAATATTCAAATAAGTTTCAAACTTAAAATTGTAATTGAAAAGGAATTTTATTTATTTTTTTTTTTTCGGTGCACACTTTCTCATGGACAGGGTTAATAAAATAAATTAGGAAAATCAAACCTGGTGGTTGAACAAGGGTTGTGCTTCAAATCTTGTAGGCCTGTGGTAGAAACTTTTAAGGCTCACCAACTCGAAAAGTCTAAGAGTTGTTAATCCAGACAACACGATGATATCATTATTGGTGGTTCCTGTTTCTTTTTCTTTCTCCGTGACTATTGCTTCCATCTTTGGACAATTCTCTACCATGAATGTTTCCAGATTTTGCAGTCGTGGGAGCATATTGAACCGAACCACATGAACCAATTTCTCACAATTAGAAACCTCCAAATCTTTCAGTCGACAGGACTTTGATTCGTTTCCTGAGCCTTTGAGTAATCGCTTCTCCCATATCTCTATTATGTTAGGCAATTTCCTAATTACCAAATTCTCCAAGACGGGGAAAGCAACCTGTAAAGTAATTTACAATACTTGTAGTTAGTGACTGTTAGAAAATTGTGGATAAGCAACAATTGATAATTGTAATAGTTTGCAAATGCGTGCTCTGATCATGCATGAGTGGAAATGAAAAGCAATTGACAAGCAAATTGATAATTGCATATCTCCATATTCTTTTCAAATATTTATTATATTGCTTAATTATTAACTATGCACCTTTTTGTTATGACCTCTTCACATTGTTTTCCATCATTCATCATTATTTTTCTATTTTCCGTAAATAATTTGTGTTCCTTAATCTTATTTGTTATTTTTTTGATAAGGCAAATTATACTGTAGATCTGTGTATTAGACCTACGAAAAAGAAGAAAATTTTATTTTAAAAATTCACCATGGTGCCTTGATAATTTTTTATATTGATAGTTTCTTATTTAATTTAATATTCATTTTCGTGGCATATCTATTTAAGTTAAGATGGTAAAACAAATCAAATTATTTGAACTCGAAATATGATATCCAGTATGATATCCAATATTTAAATATTTTTTTAAGGAACCCCAAACCAAGATTAGGCAAATTACAATTTTGGACATAATTTTAGCCAAATGAAATCATATTAAGATTCATATTCAAAATAAAAATATAGTGTTAAATTTAGAATTCATACATATTTTTGTTTGCGTAATATTGTAATTTCCATCGTAGGCCCCTAGCATGTCCACCTTCAAATTATTTCACTTTTATTTGGATTTGGATAGAAAGAGAATATTCAAATAAGTTTCAAATTTAAAATTGTAATTGAAAAGAAATTTTATTTTTTATTTTTTTGTGTGCACACTTTCTCATGGACAGGGTTAATAAAATAAATTAGGAAAATCAAACCTGGTGGTTGAACAAGGGTTGTGCTTCAAATCTTGTAGGCCAGTGGTAGAAACTTTTAAGGCTCACCAACTTGGAAAGATTAAGAATTGTTAATTGAGAGAACACGATGATATCATTACTGGTGGTTCCTGTTTCTTTTTCTTTCACCGTGACTATTGCTTCCATCTTTCGACAATTGTCTACCATGAATCTTTTCAAATTTTGCAGACGTGGGAGCATATTGAGCCGAACCACATGAACCAATTTCTCACAATTAGAAACCTCCAAACCTTTCAGTCGGCAGGACTTTGATTCGTTTTCTGAGGCTATGAGTAATCGCTTCTCCCATATCTCTATTATGTTAGGCAATTTCCTAATTACCAAATTCTCCAGGACGGGGAAAGCAACCTGTAAAGTAATTTACAACACTTGTAGTTAGTGACTGTTACAAAATTGTGGATAAGCAACAATTGATAATTGTAACAGTTTCCAAATGCGTGCTCTGATCATGCATGAGTGGAAATGAAAAGCAATAGACAAGCAAATTTATAATTGCATATCTCCATATTCTTTTCAAATATTTATTATATTGCTTAATTATTAACCATGCACCTTTTTGTTATGACCTCTTCACATTGTTTTCCATCATTCATCATTATTTTTCTATTTGCCTTAAATAATTTGTGTTCCTTAATCTTATTTGTTATTTTTTTGATAAGGCAAATTATACTGTAGATCCGAGTATTAGACCTACGAAAAAGAAGAAAATTTTATTTTAAAAATTCACCATGGTGCCTTGATAATTTTTTATATTGATAGTTTCTTATTTAATTTAATATTCATTTTCTTGGCATATCTATTTAAGTTTCATTTTCTTGGCATATCTATTTAAGTTAAGATGGTAAAACAAATCAAATTATTTGAACTCGAAATATGATATCCAGTATGATATCCAATATTTAAATATTTTTTTAAGGAACCCCAAACCAAGATTAGGCAAATTACAATTTCGGACATAATTTTAGCCAAATAAAATCATATTAAGATTCATATTCAAAATAAAAATATAGTGTTAAATTTAAAATTCATACATATTTTTGTTTAGGTAATAATGTAATTTCCATCCTAGGCCCCTAGCATGTCCACCATCAAATTATTTTACTTTTATATGGATTTGGATAGAAAGAGAATATTCAAATAAGTTAAAATTCCTTTTTTTTGGGTGCACACTTTCTCATGGACAGGGTTAATAAAATAAATTAGGAAAATCAAACCTGGTGGTTGAACAAGGGTTGCGCTTCAAATCTTGTTGGCCAGTTGTAGAAACTTTTAAGGCTCACCAACTTGGAAAGATTCAGAATTGTTAATTGTGAGAACACGATGATATCATTACTGGTGGTTCCTTTTACTTTTTCTTTCTCTGCGACTATTGCTTCCATCTTTGGACAATTGTCTACCATGAATATTTCCAGATTTTGCAGTCGTGGGAGCATATTGAACCAAACCACATGAACCAATTTCTCACAATTAGAAACCCTCATATCTTTCAGCCGGCAAGACTTTGATTCGTTTTCTGAGGCTATGAGTAATCGCTTCTCCCATATCTCTATTATGTTAGGCAATTCCTAATTACCGAATTGTCTCCAAGACGGGGAAGAGGACAACCTGGTAAAGTAATTACACACACTTTGTAGTTAGGTGACTTGTTACAAAATTGTGGATAAGCAACAATTGATAATTGTAACAGTTTCCAAATGCGTGCTCTGATCACTGCATGAGTGGAAATGAAAAGCAATAGAACAAGCAAATTTTATACATGTGCATATCTCCATAACTTTTCAAATATTATTATATTGCTTAATTCATTAACTATGCACCTTTTTGTTATGACCTCTTCAATTGTTTTCCATCATCATCATTATTTTTCTATTTGCCTTAAATAATTTGTGTTCTTAATCTTATTTGTTTATTTTTTTTGATAAGGCAAATTATACTGTAGATCTGATAATTAGACCTACGAAAAAGAAAAATTTTATTTTAAAAATTCAACCAGGTGCCTTGATAATTTTTTATATTGATAGTTTCTTATTTAATTTAAATTCATTTTCTTGGCATACTATTTAAGTTAAGATGGTAAACACAATCAATTATTTGAACTCGAAATATGATATCCAGTATTTAATAATATTTTTTTAAGGAACCCCAAACCAAGATTAGGCAAATTACAATTTTGGACAATATTTAGCCAAATAAAATCATATTAAGATCATATTCAAAAATAAAAATATATGTTAAATTTAGAATTCATACATATTTTTGTTTGGGTAATATTGTCAATTTCCATCATAGGCCCCTAGCATGTCCACTTCAAATTATTTTACTTTTATTTGGATTTGGATAGAAAGAGAATATTCAAATAAGTTCAAATTTAAAATTGTAATTGAAAAGGAATTTTATTTTTTTTTGTGCACGCTTTCCCATTGCTAGGGTTGAGAAAATAAATAGGAAAATCAAACCTGGTGGTTGAACAATGGTTGTGCTTCCGATCTTGTAGGCCACGTGTAAAAACTTTTAGGCCTCGCCAACTCCGAAAGATTAAGAGTTGTTATTGAGGGAACGCGATGATATCAATTACTGGTGGTTCCTTTTCTTTTTCTTTCTCCTGACGCTATCGTTTCCATTTTTGACATTAATACGTTGTATGTTTTTAGATTGGCAGTCATAGGAGCATATTGAACTGAACCACATGTACCAAATTTCTCAACCAATAGAACCTTGATTTCTTTCAAACCCATATCTCTATTAGTGTTAGACTATACGATTCTGGTTTAAGAACCCGACCCATTTGATACTCTGGATTCAGGTTTCATAGTTTGTAGTATGTTCATGTCTTATTTTCCTTTACCTCCTTGGAGTTTGGCATGTTGAGTTGTATTGGCCTATGATTGAAGGTTGGTAGCTTGGTTTTCAACCTTTTGTTGTACAGAATTTGCTCCTTTGCTCAAGCATCCTTCTTATCGCTCAGAGCTGGGCTTTGTGAATCTCACAGTGACTTTTGCAGGTTCTGAAGAACTACTCGGAAAGTGATATTCTATGCTCGCAGCCGGAACTTTTTGGCGCCCTCGAGCATTTGTGAAGCGATCCCTTTACTGCGAGCAAGCAGTTGGCTTTTTTGTTTTGTTAAAACTACTGGGAGTGTGTATCTACAATCGAGCTTCAGCTTTCTTGAGCTCAAGCGGTAATTATTTTGGTGTTAGACGCTCGAGCGGACTGTGCGTATATCAGTCCATAAAATTCAACTTTTTACATCACTTTTCATCTCTCTCTAAAACATTTCAAAAATCCTAAATCTATGCAGTCTCTCTCTAGAACTACTCTCTCCTACAAATACAACCACAGATCTACCCAGTTCTTGCTCACTCCACTCCCATTGTTAAAATGGTGAGCTCATCCAGAGCTTCGTTTTCATCTGAATAGAGTTAGATTTCGGCTTCCTTGAGGTTTCTCCACTCTCTCTTTGGGTCTTCTAACTTCGATGGTAGGGATTTTCTACACTCATTTATGATTTTTAACTTCGCTATTTGTTTTTATAAAACAATCTTGTGATTTTGGAGAAATCTTGAGCAAACCTAGGCCTTTTTGGTTTAAAATCAAAAAGAGAGTTTTTCAATGGAGTTATTGAAACATGTTGTGTAGTGGAAATCAAGGTTGACGTTGTGAATAAAATTGTTGATTCTTTGGAGACTTAGAAAATAAATTTGGAAGAAAAGGGAATTTTGGTTCCTAAACGTCTCAAATATTTATTTTCTGAATAATAAATGGATTGTGTGGAAAATGTGAAATTAGATGGATTATTGTATGGATGGTGGAGTTGGATATGTATTAATCACTCACATCTTGAATTGTTGGAAAGTTGTTATCTGTATTGGAGATTTTATATTATTTAGAAATATCTATTTGGACTATTGGGGAGGATAGCTAGATTGTTGTAGAAATGCATGGGATTGTGAATTGAAACTAATTTCTCCACTCCATGAACATTGTTGCTTTCATTTTAATGCATTGCAAATGTATTTGATTTTGAGAAAAATGGGTGGAAAGTGGGAAGAGGTGTGTATCACCCAAATTAAGTTAGCCTGTGGTGGTCAGGCGAAAGTCCCAAAAAACCGACCTATACATGGGTGTCGATTCCCGCAGATGATAAGATAATCGCGTAAAATGGTAATAGTAGCGCTTGTATGACTACGTTTACATTGGTGTCGTTTGACGATTTCCCGCAGATTGAAATATACGTGAAAGGTTGTACCGGTCTGAGAAATTCCCCCTTGTCTTTTATGGTAAAGGACAATGGATTTGAGATTGTGATATAAACTCATGCCTGGCATGGTCTTTGGAAAGAAATGTAAAAACGTTTTGACTGGCCATTGCATATGCATTTCACCCTTATATCTTTGTTTAAGATTCATATATTGTGTTGGATTATTTCTACTACTCTTTGACTCACACCTCGTATGGGAAACCATTTTTAGGTGTTGGTAGAATGTCTCCGCCAAGGAATAGCTTGGGAGGATTGGAGCAAGAGCTTCATCTTGTTTAACTTCTTGTTATTATTGTTGTAACTAGCCCTAGAGCTTACCTGTGTTAGAGTTAAATACATTTGGATGTAACCAAGTATAGTCTTGGAAAGTTTGTTAGCCTTCAGGGCATTTCAACTTATCTATTTTAGACTCTCTTCTTGTCAATATCGTTTGTTGTTGACACTACTATAGTAGTTTCCTAAGGAGTTAGGACAATTACTGAACTGTTATATTCGCATAGTGTCACCCTCATGTTGTACAACTGAGTCTATAGTAATGGAATGAGCATTCATAATCTATTTTGTATGTTATTTACTTATCAGTCGTGGATGGATTGTTTATATATTGTTTAGAGGTGTGACATAGGCACATTCCTCCAAGGACGAGGAAAGCACACATGTAAAGTAAATTTACCACTTGTTAGTTAGTGACTGTTACAAATGTTGGATAAGCAACAATTGATTAATGGCAATAGTTTCCAAAATGCGTGCTCTGATGATGTAGAGTGGAAAGTGAAAGCAATAGGCAAGCAATTGATAATGCATATCTCCATATCTTTTGAAATATTTATTGTATTCTTAATTAATTAACTATAACACCTTTTGTTATACCCCTCTCAACTTGTTTTCCACTGTCACGAGTTGAATCAAATTTGGATTTATTTAAATTATTTATTTCTTGGGTACCTATTTAGTAACCTTCTTATACATTGGCGAGTTTGGATGTTGGTTTAGTAATGGAATAGTAATCGATTTATAAAAAATTTTCATTAATCTAATTGCGCATTGCTACTCATTTACCATTCCATAGTCCAACAACTGTAAGTCCAAT